ACAAATATACGCGATTTAAATCCGGAAAAATAGTTTCATTTCCTATGTGTAACAATCGTGAAAACCTAAGAACTCGATCTCTACTTAAGTCCTTAACTTTTATTTCGTTACATTACCGACATACTTCTATCGTTTTGTCTCCTCACATCGCCGCTCTTTGCTTACACGGCGGTTTATTCTCGTTACTTTTGATCTGGAGTTTTTTAAAGATATTTTCAATCTGCTGATATATAAAGGAAGTATAGTCACGTCTATGGGACATGGAAGGAAAGTAGTTTTTTTATGATAATTAGTGACGGGACGGACAAGTCGTGCGCCTAGTGGAAAGCGACACGCTGTTGCAGTGCCACTGAGAACTCTAAATCGCAAAGATCTGCACTGCCATAGCGCCCGTCACCCTGAAGTCCCATATGCCTGTAATTTCACCCTTACCCTTCAAAACTGAAACACAGTCATGCTCACATTACAGCTTGGTGGTAGAAATAGATAAGGTAGTAGTACTTGCCTGGACAAACTCTTTCAAAAGGAGCTCTATTGCTGTTAAAAATATTGTAGATTGGAAAGTTTGCTTCATGGACACATAATTTTGTTACTTTTAAATTGTTTGCTTAATCTGGAAATAGCATCTTTGACTTACTTTGAAAAATAAAACAATGTCTACGTGAAGCATAATAACTTATTGTTAATCTACTTTCCCTCCGTGTCCTATTGCCGTAGGATGCACTGTTATGTTAGATCGACTTTTACTATTACTATCCACATTTGCTTTACATTATATTTAAAGAATATATTAATGGAGAGATACCTTATGTGCGTTGTAATAACAAGGCCATGTACTAACAAAGTATTCCATTTCCGAATTTGGTTATAAAATTTACGAAGCTATCAAAGCTGCAGTTAATACACATGATTAATGCATGAGCGACAAAACGCATAAGCCATACCCACATCCGTTTCCTTTACCACTGCGCACTGTAAACTGCCAATGTTTATGTTAAATGGTCTTTGCATTGAGTAGGTACCTATTACATAATTTATATTCATACGTAAACCATAAAGCCTACAGTTGGATTAAAATTATCTAATAGAAAGAAGGGAGGTAGAAAAGTAAGTATTGATAAACTGTTTCTCTAATTTATATTAAGCCTGCTTTACACTCGGATAATACAGTAAGTTAAGTCCAACACCGACTTGTGTAGACATTATAGTTAGATTTTCAATTAGAAATAATAGGTAATCTTTAGTGTGTTGCTTATTTCTGATGAAATAAATTTACTGTTGTCTAAAGGATTGACTTCACTGACTCACTCAGAGTCGTATTCTAGAACTCTACTCAATGCTCAAGTCAGGATTTGAGCAGACTTGAGTATGATTTCAAGCACTGGAAATACGACCCTAATGGCAAGGACTTGAGTATGATTTTCAGTGCTCACTGCAATACTCAAGTCAGGATCTGAGTATGGTTTAAAGCACTCCAAATCATACTCAAGTCCCTGCCATTAGGGTCGTATTTCCAGTGCTTGAAATCATACTCAGATCCTGACTTGAGCATTGAGTAGAGTTCTGGAATACGACTCTCAGTATCTTACAGATAAGATAAGATAGGTAAAATAGAAATTACAGAAGTATTGTTTGTTTAGCAGATTAATAGTTAAAAATCTTTACCGTTTTTTTTACTGATTCTCTTGCAGTGAGTTCGTTGTGAACTAAACCAAACACATCAGTATGCAATAAACATGGTGACATTATTTTTCAATATCACGTTATCAGCTATCAATTTACGAGCTCTAATTAAAAATCTTATTATAGTTTAAATTCAGAGCTGTCAGCTAACCGCCCGACAGCATTTATTTTCTATCTTTCTGTTCAAAACTTGGCAGATATTAAGAAAAACAAATATTTATCAGAGAAGATTTGAAAGATAATTATTGCGAGTGGTTTTAACGACAACACTGAATGGAAAAAATAGAATATATGCATTGATATTCTTGACATTGGCTTCAGAGCTGTGTTTCGCTTTCCATCGTCTACACAAACCCTGTCATCATCAACTAATTTATACGTCTCACTACTGGACACGGGTCTTCTCTCAGGCGAGGGCTTAGTCCATAGTAGTTGGGGACTTAACAACCCGCATTGGGACTTAACAACCCGCATTGGGCCAAACCCAGTGACTATGCCGAAATTGAATGTCTGTGTCCAGTCCCAGCTCATCATAAACCGGCCGTTAAGTTGTCCGTAATTGACTACAATAACACAAATAAGAATTCCAATACAAAGTAAAAGTACGACGGTTATAAAAAATGTAAGTGTTATGGAACATCAAAATGTCATAGGAGGAATATACGTATAGAAGTATATTTGTTTCGAATTTATTAGGTACTTAGAGTAGAATAGAATACAATAGAATAAGCTTTATTGCACACAAAAAAAACAGTGATGATACAAAATACAGTGTAGGTGATATCGTTATCGCTATCGCCTTATTGCTAGATAGCGATCCATTCTAGCCTACCTTAAAAATGATTACAGAGTTACAGTTGAAGGGCAGCTAATGGTGCACAAAGCAGCTAAATGGTGTATAATGTTGAACCGAATATATTCTTAATAAACTTCATAAAACTTACTTTAGAACCATAACATACGTACACATTGCTATATACTAAATATGTATGTATAAAGGAATAAAATAAGTTAATTAATAAGTGTAACGCCTGAACCTGTTTATTGTTAATGTAACTACGTAACTTCTAGGCACGATGCCCCAGACTACGGTCACAGTATCACAAAATGGCTTGTAAAACTGTAGTACGGCCCTCGACGAAATTTTCTACTTATAAACTTTTTAACATTTTTTGTGTATCTACCTGTTATACTTTAGTTCTTTTTTATTTAATTTTTTTAGAATTTAAAAAGGGGTACACATACACATAACTAAATATAGTCCTAAAAAACTGTATATACCGTTTGACGGCAGGATCGAAGCGAGTCTCAATTGAGCAAAAAGTTACAAAACGACACTCGATGTGGTTAAAAATACTTATTATTATATTACTAACTATCCAACAAAAAAATTTTGAAATAATTATCTTTCAACATTCATATATCTTTATAAACGATAATATATATATGCATATACCATGCATATTATTTTTATTTTGATGACGAATACTTAACTAAGTTATAAAATAATGTTCATTTACCAATTAGCGGCCTTTACACAGACACTCTGTCACACGTGATAAGCAATCGTGAGCGACTGAG